GGCTGTGCAGCCGAGCAGCGAGGAAATCTGTTCCTAACTCGGTGTCTCCCTGTGCCTACGGCCGGTGGTCCCTTCTGTGCCTAAGGGTGCGTTTGAGGAATTCCCTAGTGCTCAAAAATTGTCTTAAAAATTAGCAGCAGGAAACAATGATCTTCCCAAACCATGACAAAACCTCTTGAATGAGAACTATCTAGAGCTCAAGTCAAGTTGATCTAGAGGTATTTATGCCCCCTGAGATGTTTAACACCCTCTTTAATGGACTGGGAAGTACCTTATCATCCTCATGTGATGCAAACGCATCATCCCACTTCCTGTCAAGGACTGCCTGCCTCTGCCTTCCTCACCTCTGTGAACACACACAGCGTTTCTTCAGGATGCCTTCATGAAACACTCAGCTAAATCCAGGTCCCAGGGCTTGTCCAGCAGCTGCCAGCTCTGCCAAATTTGTTCCCGGTCTCTGGATTATGTGGAATGAGATGTCCGCAATTCTCACTACCAAACTTCCAGGCTGAAAATAAAAACCCAGTGTGCCTTCCTCTGCGGCTGCAGGCTCCCCTCCCTGCCTTCTGCACCCCCAGGACTGGCTGGAGATGGCTCCAAAGCAGAAGGAAGTGAGTGAGCTGCCAGGAGAAGATGCATCTTAGCTGCTCTCAGAGCCTCTGAGACACTGAAGTGAGCAAGCACAGTAATGGGTGGACCAGGGAAAAAGGAGGAGGAATTCACGTTGCCAACCAGCCTCTGGTCATGAGGCTCTGTGAGCTCTCAAATCCTGCAGAGGCTTGATCCTCACCAGCACCAGACAAGACCAGCTCCATGCACATCAGTGGGATTTAAGCCCCTGCACCCCCTTCCAGGATTATCCAGTTGTCTGAGCTAAAACATTGCTTGAAATAGTGCTCTGAAAACCACCTCACATCCACGCACCATCACACACTCCAGGCTTACAGGGAAATTACTGGATGGATGGGATGTGTGATGGTGCAGGACAAGGCTCTGTCCCTCTCAGACACTTACAAGTCAGTGCAGCAAAGCCATAGCAACAAGGAAAACACTCTTCTTATTTCCCATCCAAGAGCAGCTCCTGCCATTCACTGATTGTGTGACCTTCTGCCAGCAGCCACTGAAGCAATCTTTGAAAACGTTTCTGTATCATTTAAACCTGGTTACTTGGCCCTGGACTGTTCCTGCCAAGGTAGCAGCAACAACTCGAGCAGAGAGAGAGAGAGCCTGGCATTTCAGTGCTGAGATTTGTCCTCTTAAAATCTTTCTATTCCTCCTGTCACCAGTGGAAACCCTGCCCAACAGCAGCATAAAAAATAAATCCAAGGCTGAGGTTGAGTAACACAGAAAAGATTGTCTGAAAAATGACTGCAATAGAAAAACCAATCATTTAAAAATGTTAATATTTAGCATTTGAAAATGAGGTGGAAGGATCATTATAGATAAATATCAAATATCTTCTGTTCATTCCTTTTTGCTGCTAGATTGGGAAGGTCAGGAGTTCAGAGATGCTTTAATGCCTTGGTTGATACCATGAAATGGGGCTAATTCAGCACTTTGGAAAGGGTAAGGGGCCTGGTGAGAACTGGTAAAAAAATGGGGTAAAGGAAGATTCCCACCCCAGAAGAACCTGCATGTCCTACTGAACCCAGTAAAAGCAACACAGGTCTCTGCTGTTTTCCACTGTCCCAGAACAGATGTTCTGACTCCAAAAAATATATAGAAATATATTCAGTGGGAACGCTTCATTTTGTGAGTAACCACATAAAGAGCTTCTCTTCTGACAGTTTTTTGTCCCTAAGCAGGGATAAAATGCTTTCTTTAAGGTTCTTCTGGCTGTGCTTCCTTCTGGAGACACTGGTGCCCTAATACTGATGTGCTTAGCAGCACTAATAGATTACACTTACATGCACTATTTTTTTTTTCCCCTGAATAATGAAGTTAAAAGGCCACTTTGGCATAAATTCACCCATTGCTGCCCCAAGTGAAGTGAGTTTCTCCTGGTGCTGCTGCATACAAATAATTGCTTTTGGCCAAAGCCAAGGGAAACACGAGTCCATTGCTTAATTTATTTCTATTAACACCATCAAATGTTAGTGAGAGGGAGGCAGCAAAGTGGCACAATGGCAGCGCCCAGCGAGAGCAGCCTGCATATGCTGGTAGATAAAACCCTTGCAGGGGATATCTGCATAGGGCGAATTTTAAAAGCAGGTTATTTTCTACCTGTTTTGCATTTGCATGAAAGTCAGAATTATTTCTACTGTCTTTAGAGCGCTCTTTCAGATGGCAAACACCTGGAACTCCAAAAGCTGCAACACCTGAACTGTGCAACCCTAACCCTAACCCTGGGGGGAAGGGAGAGCAGCAGCCTGTGTCACACAGTCCCTGTTCCAAGGACCACACTCCACACAGACTTCCAGGTTCCTCCAGGAAAAAAGGATGGCACTGTTTTCTTTCCAGTGCAATGTATGAATAAATAGAATAAAATTAGCAGGGGAATGCTTGTGGAGGGAACTGCCCCCTGTTATTTGCATTATTACACACATTATCTTCAGGTAGCCTCAGCATTAGCAGCTCCAGGTCCAGCCACAGCTGCCTCAGGTGTGGCACTTGTTTTCATTCAAGTTACACCTGGGCAGGTTTAGGTTGAATCAGGAAAAATGTCTTCACCAAAGGGGTTGTCCAGCCCTGGAACAGGCTGCCCACCATCCTTGGAGGGATTTAAGCTATGTAAATGTGGCACTTGGGGACATGGTTTAGTGGTGGGCTTGGCAGTGCTGGGGGAATAGTTGGACTCAATGATCCTGAAGATCTTTTCAACTTAAATAATTATATTGACTCCCCAGGGGAAGCTGGGGAATGTCCAGTGTCAGAAGGGACTGCACTCAAATCCTGCTGGATTTTCCTCAGCAGGTCCATCCATCTGAATACTCTCCAGACTTTTGTCATGATGGAAAATTTCAATGCTTCAGAAGTCTGAGCAATAGGACTGATCCTTTTTTACTTTGCTCTCAGGAATCAGTTTCAGTAAAACAGTGAACAGCAATTTTTACTTCTTCCAAACAGGTTTTTCCCTTGGCTGCTACGGCTTGAAAAGCTTCGAAAGCTGCGCTGCAGCGTAACGACAGGAGCACAGGAGAAGGAAAACTTTAGAGGCAGAGAATAACATCAAACCATTTGATTTATGATCTAAACCAACAACTGCTGGTTGCCACAGCTGGTCCCTTTTTGTTCCCACATGACAAACGCTTCTATTCCAATCTCTGCAAGCTTCAGGAGTATTCATGTTAGCAGCACGTTGTATCGATCTAGTGACAGTTCCAGTGCAAACTGCTGCACCAAAATTCAGAGTACGAACTCTAAATTACCAACCAAAGTTCTCAAAACAAGCATCCCTAAGCAGGCAGCTCAAAAACTCAAGATCCACTACTGAAGCCTCCCAGCTTCTGGGTGGTTTACCTGGGAGTAAGATCAAACTGCAAGATCAGTTTGCTACCTGTATACACTGGATACAGGAGTTTAATGAAGCTTTGTAGCAACTTCCCTTAAGCAGCTTCAGAGCTGGAAGAGGAACTGGTTGAAAATGCATAAATGGCTACAAGTAAAACCACTCAATCCTCTGTATGCAGCAAACTTAACTTGAAGCAACCACCTCAAATGCTAGAAAGCACAGCCAGCTTTCATGGCCATGAGTCCCTGACCGTGGTGAAGAACAGGACTGCAGGGTCTGCCACGCCAATGCCCCCCTGCCAGGAGGGCAGAGACCCAGCAAACAGTGCACAACCCAAGGTGGCTGGAACATGTTGGCCTATTTGTCTAGAACTGGTCCCAAAGTAGCAATCAGATGGTACAAAGGGGCACATCCATCCACTCCATCTGCACAGCCCAGTTCAGCCCAGCTGCCCCCCAGACTGTCCACAGTTCTACTGCCTGACCCATCATGAACACAAAACCTGGCACATCAGCCTTCACCTTTCAAAACCTGAACCAAATCCTGAAACTCACTCAAGTGTCAAACAAGTGCAAAGGAAAAAGCTCTGAGACACAGAAGTGCTTCCCACCAGATGCCATTTTGTCCTCCAGCAAGAAGGTTTCACAACAGAAGTGATAGAGAAGCTTGGTATCCCTCCAGCAAACCCACACTTGGCACTTTACACCCTGGCAGTGATGCTCTAACCCACATCCCTTTAGGAAGCTGCTGGATAAAAGCCCCCAGCAATGGGAGCTCAGGCTCCCAGCAATGTTTTCCACCACAGCACCATGCAAACGCTGTCACATCTTGCCACTGGCAGCAATGTGTGAAATCAGGTTCAGGTTTCAGTGTGCTGGAAAGAAAACCCAGCACTGGCTTCCAGTGCAGATTGTGGGGAGCAAGTAAAACATACTTTTCTTTTTATAGACTGTTTCCATGGTGCACAGAGGTTCCCATAGCTAATTCTGCAGCTGCAGAACTTCAGAAAATTGCACAGCCTGGGTATAATCCTGTGGCAGGGTGCCCCATACATCCCCAAAGCAAAATCCAGTGGCTTAACAGTCACCAAACAACAGAGCCGTGTCCCACTCTGACGTGGGAGCGGAGCGGCTGCAGCTGAACCCCTCAAGTTGCTGAGCAGTTTAAGAGAGTCCCAGAGCAACCAAAGCCAGGTCTGGGCTTCAGGCCCCATCTGCTAAAGCTCCCAGACATCAGTGGGAGATAAACAAATTACTACTTGCCTTATTTATTTTTAAAACAATTTCTTAGAAGAACTGTATGTCTGAAGAACAAGGAGACTGTTATAACTTAATCAACCCCATCTCTGCCTCTCTCCACTGGCACAACTCTGAAGCAGCTCAGCTTCCAGGAGATCCAGGATGCACTGCCTCCAACGTGCTGTGCTGGTCAGAGCCTCACCAGCTCAGACAAACCAGCCATTCCCAAAAACATCCTCCTGGAATCAAGGTGCCCCTCCCCATTCTCCATTCAGCCCCTCGGCACGGGCAGATCCCGGCGTGTCACTCACCTGCTCCTGGGAATTCATCACCCGCAGCTTCATCTGCTTCAGGTAGGTCGAGGTGAGGGGCATGTTGTAGTCAATGATCCCAGAAACCAAGGAGGAAGGTGGCTCGCTCTCTGAAGAACAGAAGAAAAGCTTTATTTAGATGAGGGACCTGCAGGTATGTTCTTGTAACTCAGGGGTATTCAGGAGAACTTCAAATCCCTGGCAAGAGCCACCCGCTGAGAGAAGGTTCCTCTAAGAACATGACCCCACCAAGAACAGAATTACAGAACAGATGTTGTCTTGGGAAAAAAAATAAATAAAGAAAAAAAGCATTGCTGCCACCTGCGAAAAAAAACTACACATAATTTATAATTTTTCAGTGTCTCCCAAACTTGAGGAAGAAACTGAGTCTTGCTGAAGCCTCAGAAGTGCTTCCATGCACATGGGATTTGTGCAGGGGGTGATGAACAAGGATCTATTTGCAGCTTGCTTCAGCATTGCAAATTCTTGCCAATTTTGCTGGGATTCCCTCAGGTAGGAGTTAACATTAAGGCAACGTATTAAGTATCTCTATCTGGTGATGAAGATTATTTTTAACATCCTCATTAAAACACAAACTTAATTTTAGAGATCTTTAATTTAAATTGTTCCTGTTGATTCCTCTGGCTGCATCACATTGAGCTCTAGAGATGGCTCCAGGTTAGGACGCTCCTGCAAATCACTCTGTCTGGCCAGGCTGAGTCCCCACAAAGCAAATTCTCAGTGATTTCTCTTAATTTTCAAAGATTTTTCTGCTCTGCCACCACCGCTACAGATCCTGCAGGACACAGAACATGAAGGCTGCTGGAATGACCTTTTCTAACACTGAATTTCCAGGCTCACACAGTGGGTTTGTCCAGGAGGAAAGCTGCCATTGTCCACAGGGATGGCTGATGGCTACAAGCAAGATCTCTTTGCTCTCAGCACAGGCAGATGCAAGTCTGGAGAATTAACCCAGCCTTCCAGCACATGCTGAAGGGATGTGTGGTATCCACTGGACAGGGAGCTTAAGCAGCAATGAGGGAAGAAGGATTCCCAGGAGCTGAAGGTGAACTTATGGTGGGAGGTTTCCATTCCTGGTTCTGAATCTCCCTGGCTGGCTTGCATTTTCTGGGGTCACTGGTTTCACAAGCATGTGTGACAGAGTCCCTTGAGAAAGAGCCTTCACAAAATGTTTTACAGCACCTCAGAAAAGCCATCAACCCAATCCTAATGGGCCTGCTTCTCAGAAATGCTGAGTGCCAAAAAATCCTCTTGGAACTCAGCAGACATGAAGAAGCTTCACACCTCTGGAAACACCACATCTATCATGACTGCTTAAGAAATTACCTGACCCCAAAACTTCCTGTAATTGACTTAAACATCACAAAGGTCTTTGCAAATCTTCTCTATAAAGACATTGACTGGGTCCATGGAAATACAATGCTTTTTTTCTCAGGTTCATCTGGTCCATTCCTGGGCAGATAAGAGCATTCCTGCCTGTGGGTGCAGGGAAGGGTGGCTAGTGCCACTCAAGCCATCAACTTGCCCAAATATGAAGGTCCAAAGCCTTTAGGAGCCTTGTAAACTGATTCCTCCATCTTTTCTCATGGCTGTATGTCAGCAGTCTCTGTCACGCTTTGACCTACAGATTAGGAGCACTTATATGTCTCTATAACACCCAAAATAAACCTTTATTGTGCTGTGCAGGGATGCTGTGCTGTGATGAAAAGATGTTAAAATCCCAGTGCAAGGGGAGCTTTTCACAGGAACAAAACCTGCCACCTTCCCCAGCTGGCTGAGTCCCTAAGAGTTTGGGAAAGCATTTGCTCAGAGTAACACGGATAGAGCTGCTTTCTGCTGAAGCCCAGGCACGATGAGGTGAGTGTTTGGGATCTCTAAGGATGATAAGTTGCTCTCCTGCCATTCCCCACTCCACTGCTCAGCTCTGCAGAGATGAATGAAGCTGAACAGGAGCAGCTCAGCAACTTCAGACGGGGACGAAGAGGGAGGTAAGTGATCTTTTAGTGCTTAGATTCTGCCTGAAACCATTCTGATGTAAATTTGGAACAATCCCATTAGAGGCCACAAATTTAATGTGAATTTGTGCAACTGCACCACATAAGGGATTGAGCCCAAGAAACCAAACCCTTTTTTTTTTCCCCCCTTTTTCCTAAGTTATCTGGGAAAGAAAGAAAACCTTTGTTTTAAAAGGCCTGGGGGGCTCCACGGGAACAATCCTCACATCCTATGTCACAAGAGGAAGCTCCTGGAATCCTTTAGCTCATTTTGCAGTTATCTCTATCACATGCCCCACATGCTGGACACACAGATGGAACAGGCAGAAATGGTTTTGATCCTAGCTCCACATTTTTATCACTCCACCAGAATTACTCCTAGTTTAATAACACTGTAAAGAGATCCCAGTGAAGTCCAGTGACGTTCAAACTTTCCCACAAGCAAGACAATTTGCTTTTATGAATGATGTGGGTGCCCTGCAGGGTTTGATGTCAGATATGCTTAATTAGGGATTTTTGCGATCACAAATTAAATGTGTTCAGATTTCTTTCGCAGACAAGAATAGTAGAAAGAGATGGGAATTACTCAAATTTTGTCATCTTACTGAGTTAAACTTTACCTGTATGTGCTTCTATGTGTGTGTGCATGTGCATACACCTCAGTAATTCTTCTATGACCCCAGTGGTTTTTTTAGGTGATTTGCTCCTGATAAATTCCTGAATACATGTTAGTGAAATCAGACACCCTTCCCCGGGAAAAGTAACCTTATCTAATCTACTCAATGCATTTTCACATGTACTTAGTCACTATTTAGGTGATGTTCAGGCAGAGAAGCACTTCTGTCCTTTCATTCATGGTGGCTAAGACTTTTTACCTGTGAGATCCTTTGTATTCCTGATTGATTTATTTTTAAGAGAACTGCAAAGGGCAGAAGCTTTATGAAAATAATGAATAACTGATATCAATTTACAGATTTGTTCAGGACAGATGGATGGCAGCGTTGATCATGGTTCCCACAGCTAGGACCACAGCGGGGGGGATATCCAGAACCAGGGGTTCCCTGAGCTGCCTCTGAACTGGGATGGGTGTGAGTTGCTGGGAGAGGCACAGATGCAGGATGGTGGGTGGAAGCCCCTGAAGGAAAACCAGGTTGGACAGGGCTTTGAGCAACCTGATCTGATGGAAGGTGTCCCTGCCCTTGGCAAGAGGTTGGAATAAGATGGACTTTAAGGTTCCTTCCAAACCCCACCAGTCTGTGACGCTGTGAAGGAACAGCACCTGTGATGGACGCAGTGCAATCTGTGTGAAGGTCAAGCTTGCTCCCAGCAAGGCCAAAGGCCAAAACTTTTCTGGATGTAATTGGAAAGAGAGATCAGGCCCTTAGCTGACAGAGTGGGAAGTGCTGTGGTAATGGAGCTTCAACTAACAGAATTCACATGGAGCTATTTGGGAGAGTTTTTGAGAGTTTTTTTTAAAAAAATATAATGAGTACAAAGCATTTCAGTCACTACCTTTGGATAGATGGCACATAATCCACTTACACAAAACCTCTGGGATGTCCACAGCTCTGCTCCCAGCACTAAACAGTTGGCAATCAGTATTTAATACAAAAAATTCTCTATTGTTGGGCCTTTTGTTCCTTAAATTCTTCGTCCCTTCCTGATAAGAGCTGCCAAATGAGCCACTTTGCCTTGCCCCTTTTAAAACAGACCAACTCCCTGCAGTTTGCTTAGGTTTCTTTTAAAAGAAGCAATTTTAATGGCTGAAATCAACATCACTTTGCACTTGCTTTGCACTTGATAATGAAAGCAAGTTTGTAATTCAGAAAACAACCACAAAAACATTTAAACTGCTACTCTGGAAGAGAACCTGGTCCCATCTTCTTCCCACTCCTGCTCTCTCTTAGACCTAAGAAGCTGCAGATTGGATCTGTCCACAAAAGAACTACAAGGAGTCAACCACCTCAGTGGCCACACTAACTGTGTGTGTACACAGGCACGGTGTAACTGTGATTGCCAAAACACTTGCAATTATCCAACGCAGGATCACCTGCTTATCTATTAATTAAGTGTAAATTGCTTCTTTATCAGAAACTTCAGCTATTCAGACATATTCTGTGTCTTTCAATACAAAATTACCAGCTCCAGGGAAAAACTTAAGGTTATTTTTTTTACACATTGAGGTTTCCACCCTCACATGATCATGGGTTGATGGCAGCCGTATCTGTGGTATTTCTGACCCCTGTTTCGGGCAGCACTGGGGAAGCTCGGAAAGAAAGCCAGGCTGCTTCTGCTCACTAAGCTGAAAGAAGCAGGTTTAAGCAATTCCTTCAGCTTGGCTATAAAATGAAAAATATTCCAGCTTAGGAAAACCCTTAGGTGAGGATGTGTCTCCTGGGCAGGACAGTATCTGGCAGCTGTCGGTGGCACTGTGCTGGTGCAAAATGCAGAGTCAGCCCTGCTGGCAGAAGCCACTCGCCTTTACCTTTGGGCTCCAGGCCGTTGGAGTTGAAATGCATCCTCTTCTGGCACTCAGTGCAACTCATCAGGAACCTGGTCACAGCCTCTCTCGGGAGGAAAGCATAGGTCTCTGCAATCTGGGGAAACAACAGAGAGTTGTATGTCCTGGGAGAGGGAGAATGGGGTGGAGAGCACAGGGACCACGGGCACAACTCACAGCTACACATTGTCCCCTCCAGCCCTAAATCCCTCCCTCCAGAGCAGCTGTTGGTGGGGGAACACTTTGGGAGGGTAACTGGTGTGCCAGTGAGGCACCAAGACACAAATGAACAGACCTTTGGTGTCCCTGCACACCAACACCTTCCCAGAAACTCCTTCCCCTTCCCTCTTGGAGTCTGGGAAGAGCAAAGCTATGAACATGTAAGAATCAAATGTGAAAGTAAGGCCTCGTCAGCTCTGTTTGCATTGTTAATTACCATCACACCAGTAACCTGAAGAATCCATTAATCTTTTGTAAGGGCAGGTCACTTTTTCCCACAATGACAATCAATTACTGTTAATAATACTTTGCACTTCTGTGACATATTTTATCTAGGGAATTGAAAACATTTTTCCAAACAGTAATGAATTAAGTCTCCTGAACCTTTGTGGGATATGTATTTTACGGATGAGGAAAAGCTAAGGATAAATATTTAAAACTTGAATGCTTGGAGTTAAACACTAGATCCAGACCTAAGCACCCACAGAAGGTGTCTGGCAATCCCTGTTATTGTAATTAATTCCTGCCAGCAATAATTTTACAGTATTTCTAAAGATCAAGACTAAGTTATTTGGAGAAGGAATGAGTCAATTTCAATGTAGACTTCTTTAAGGCCATAAAAGACCACCAAATCTTGGAGTCTGACCTGTGCAGCACAAGTCACAAAACTTCACCCAGGTTCTCCTGCAGCCCAGTGGTCTCTGATTTGCCCAAAACATCATCCAGGAAGACATCTGGTCTTAATTGGAAGGCATTAAAAGGTGGAGAGCCCACCTCTTACTTTGGGCTGGCTCCTATGGTTAATCACCCATCCTGTTTGGTCTAAGTGACTTGTCCGAGCACGGCGGTTCCCAAACCAGGGGCCGTGACCCCCACAGGGGTCACAGCACTTACAAGTGGGGTCATAAAGCAGACAGAAATTCAATTGTTTGTGCCAGTCCTCGGGGCTGCAGCCCGGCAGAAGTGGGGCTCAGGACGGGAAGTGGGGCTGCAATCAGACACCTCGGGGTGACAGGGCTGAGCTGGGGGGACAGCCCAGGATGTCCTGATCCCCCTCCTCTGGCCGGTGGGCATCCTACCTGACATAGTTAACAATTCCTAAATTCTAAAAGTCCACATTAAATACAAAAATACCTAAATTCCACGCATTTTTCTGCGCTGAGGGGGTGCTGTTCTAGAAGCAGAGCAGCGGGGCAGGGGCAGAGGCTGTGCTGGATCATGGCTAAGGCAGCGCCTGCCCGGCTCTGCGGTGGGAGGGAGGGAGGGAGAGGGAGGGAGGGAGCCGCATCCCTCTCCACTGCGCGGCAGCAGAGCCCGGGCTTTCACACGCACAGAATGCCAGATGGGTGGAAAGTTCAGGCGGGGACCTTGTCCCAGCGCTCAAATGGAGGCTGCAGTGCCTGGTCCTCATGGGATTCTGCTCCCATTTAGCTGCAGCCCCAGCGAGCTCTGTTGTGGCCGAGCGGAAGCCAGCTCGGTCTTTGCCTCTGTGCGATATTTATCGATGCACGAGCACAAGGGATTCCCGCAGAAACGCTGAAAGGAGGGGTCTGGAAACTGCTGGTGGCAGCAGTGGTGTGGTGTCACAGGCAGGGAACTGTCCCCGCGTGCTGCCTGCCGGGCTCAGCCGTCTCCCTGTCTCTTTTGCTCCAGCAAGCCCAGTCTCTGCTGCAAATGTTCAGCTAATTTTAGTGATACAGTTGTTATTTCTCAGCTGATTTGATGCTCTGCAGAGCAGACAGCTTCCTTGATGAGTTATCTCCCATCCAAACTCCCTTTCTGATTGCCTCCCTCCGGAGGTCATGGACAAGGGCAAACTCTCCAGTGTCTCTAATCAGAAGTGGTGGGGAAAGGGAGCAGGGAGAAGGAGGCAGGGGACCCTGGAGCCTCCCAATTGGTCACCCAGCAGCGTCCCTTTGTGCACCCGTGCCAGGCGTGGCGTGTGCTCTGCACCATTTCACCTTCCAGCTCAGGCTACAAAGGCTCCGGGGAGCAAGGGCAGCAGGGAGGGCAGGAGCCAGGCTGGGCAGCCCAGCCAGCAGCGTCCTGCCAGGTCAGGAGGGGATACACGCTGCTAATGTGATGATCTCAGCTCAAGAGGGAGATGAGGGGTGGAGCGTGAAGCTCTCTGACTGCTGTGAGCAGGCCTGGGAAAACAGACGGATCCAGCCTGCTCCCCTGGGGCTGTGCAGGGCACAGATTAGTCCTCCAGAGAGATGAATTGAAGGAATTAGGGAAGGGTCGGAGTGGTCTGCTGGGGAAATGAGCAGAAAGTTTTTGAATTGTGGTCATGCTGGTGGGCTGCCCCCCCTGGACCATAGAAAGGTCATCACTTGCCCCCAGCCAGAGAGGGTCAGTGCGTGGCCCAGCCCCTGGCCCCACGCTGTGCTGCAGGGGCAGGACTGGAGTGCTCAGGGCAGAGAGCCATGCCATGAGCTCTGTGTGCAGAGCCCTGCTCCCTGGGGACTCCCACCACATGTAGGAGGCTGCAGGGCACGGGGTTGCCTCACCAGCACTGCCAGCACCACAGCATGGATGGAGCAGGGACACAGGCAGGCAGGGCAGACTCCAACCCTGTGCTGACTCTGGCAGAACCTCAGGCATCATCACAGAGATGAGGGCAGCCTGCAAAGACCTATCTGAGACACTGTATACACCAGAGAGATGAGCTGCCAGCAAACCACTCCTGTCTCTAAGCGACCTGGTCCTTAGGGCTGTGGGATTCAAAGGAGTAGCTTGGTCTTGGACAGTAAATTCAGCTCTTCTTGTAAAAGGAGAGCCCAAATGTTTGCATCGAAGGGCTGTGCAGAGTCAGGAGAAACAGCAAGCTCCCTGGAGAAGCACACTTCAAGCTAAATTATTCCTGACCTAACTAGAGTGGTGTTTCAGGGTGAATAGAGCTGGTTCTTGGCATCCACAGAACCAAGGAACTAAGACAAGACTTAGCTTGGTGTCTGCCTCCATTTTGTAACTGAGGAAACCCAGCATGGGCAGGAGAGGAGAGGAGAGAAAGGCCAGGGCCATGCCCCAGTCCTGCTGTCTGGCTGCTCCTGACCTTCAAGGCCCACATGAGACACTTCCCTTGGCTGAGGGAGACAGGGAGGCAGATGACCCAGAGCAAGCAAGGGACCTGACAAACATTCTCTCATCCATGGCTAATACTGAGGATTTCTCTTCCTTTTCCCTTCAGACATGCACAGTGTCTTTGTATGATTCCCCTGCTCTCTCCTCTCCCAGCAGCCGCGCTGTGCTGCCGCTGCAGCCCGGATTCCCGTCCCCAGCACAGCTGCTCTGCCTTTAAACCCCTCCTTCCTCACGCCTCCCCGCACAGGCACACTGGGCTCTGCCTCCCGCCAGTGCCTCTGCTCCTACCTGCCCTGTCATCCCCGTTCCCGAGGGACTCTCCCTCCCGCAGCCCCTCCGCTCCGGTGCCCGCCCTGCCCGGGGCACGGGGGGACTCTCACCGCTCGGTAGGTTTTCTTCTGCCCGGCATGTTTGGGTGCTTTGCCCGGCTCCGACGAGCTTTCCACATGCATCGAGTAGATGATGTCAAAGAAATCTTCCACCACAGCCACGCGTTTCAGAGAGATGCCCTCGGGCTCCGACAGTCCATCTGCCCCCTACAACAGTGCAGGCAAGTTGAGTTAGTGTCAGCGATGGGTGACAGGGGTGAGGAGATCGGCCCGGGGCTAATGTGGTTGGAGGGGGCAGAGTGGCTGTGCTCCAGCCTCGGGCTGCCTTGGGCACGGGGGATGTGGGGGATAAATTAAACATCGCTTCAGGGAGGATCCTGCTGTAGCCAGGGCAGTGGCGGCTGCTGCTGTCGTGCTGCTAAAGCTGGCAATGAAATTGGGCCAGGAATAAAAGCAAGGGAAGAGTCCAGAGTGGAGTCACAACTGATCAAGAAATTCAATTTCCGTAATGTGGGATGGTTTTGCTAGGTGGGGAACAGGCGGGGGAAGCTCTTTGGACCTGCACATGGTGCTAAACCATCCTGGGAAGCCCTGAGATGCGAGGTACTCTTGCTGGCTGCAGTCCCTGTGGACATGGATCAGCCAGCAGGACAAGGTTTCACTGTGATGCCAGGATACAGCCCCTAAAGGAAGGAGCCAGCATCCCCTCCTTCCCTGCACTGACCTTTCCAAGGCTCCCTCCCTCTCACAGACGCAGAGCAGCTGAGCGCTGGCAGCAGCAGCACAGCTCTTTGTGTGTTCGGATGTGCTGGAGAGCAGGAGGCAGTAATTCTGCCACACGACAGTGGTGACAGACTGATGGGAGTGGGAAGTGTGGGGAGCAGTGCTCCTCCGAGCTGACTGGCACCAACGGTGTCAGCTCACACTGGCAGGGTATGCTGTGGGAAGGGGAGGCAGCCTCTGGGACCCGGCAGCTGCCATCAGCACTTGGCACAAAGCACCAGGGCAGGAAGGGCTACTGGGAGGTGGTCAGTGGCTAGTGTAATGGCAGGGGGACTGAGAAAGAGACAGGCTTAGGGAGATCACTTAGCTTGCTCCTTGAAAAAATGCTATTTTTGCATAGACAAAAAAAAAATTAAATATTATATCGATATATATGTCTGTATGTATGTATATGTGTATATATTCCATCCCTTTAAGGGCTGCTTTCCAAAAGGAATGCATGGATGTTGTCCAGTGGGTACCTACCAGGCTGCTAAGCAGCAACCTGCACATCTAAATTACCTGCAAACTACCTTTTTCACGTGCATTCACACATCCCTGAGGGCAGGCAGAAGCTGGCAGGGAGCTGTGGGCAGGGTCTGGCGGGGAACAGCCAGCCTCCTAACCTGCATTTGTGCTGTCCTTGGCTGGGCTCTGTGTATCTTACACAGTCTATAGATTGAATAAATGCTGTTCTTTAAGCCACCAGTGAAAGGCTTCTCAAAAATCAATCACTTAGTGGGCCCACCTTCTGCTAAAGCTACCCAACATCTCCGAGGAGCAGTCATTTAATGTACAGCTCTGCCTATTAGAGTTGGCTCCTCACCCCAATTTCGGAACAGAGACTGCCTGTCCTGGGCACAGGCTGCAGCGGGACGGTGGCTGAGCTCACCCGGGACACGGGCACGAGGATTTTCCAACAGAAACCACCTCTCCCCTCCCCGGAGAGCCCCAAGCCGGGTCTGAAGGTGGCTGTAACAAAGAGAATATTGAGAGCGAACACAAGGGGCAGGGTGGCAGGGCTGCGTGGAGGGGGTCGGGAAACTTCGCCCCAGGGAGTGTCTTTGAGGAATATAGATCTAATTTCTTCTGTCACCGTTCAGAGAGTTTCAGTTTAATCGAGGGCATGGGTATTCCCCTGCCAAGGAGGAGCGGGCATTAGGAGGCTTCCTACTGACCAATAATCCTCAGAGCAGGGTTGAAATGAGGATAATTACAGAAACAGGACAAAGGAAAATGCAGCAGGGGAAAAGCACAGTCAGATCTAACAAGCAGAGCCCTCAAAATTAAGGCTGTAACCAACCCTGTATGCAAATCATTGTTTCCAACCAGCTAATATCCTCCTCCCTGCACGGCCAGCAGGTCCCTGTTTCCTCCCCGGTTTCAGAAGGAATGCAGTGAAGGTAACCTCAGGGTCTGGGCATTGCTACAGCCTCCCTGCACACCCAGCAGCGCTCTCCTCTCCACCCCGGCTGGATGCCGGATGCCGGAGCTGCCTCCTCAGCATCCCACTCCCTGCAGCGATCCTCCCCTGACTCCTTGCAGCGCTCCTCCATCCCCTCCTCAGCCTTGTGACTGCTCTCCCCGTGATTATTTAGCTTTGGGAAGCAGGTGAGATGCAAGCAGTATCAAAGCCACTGGGTATAAGAAGCTGTATCAAGTCAGTGCCTCCAGGATTAGGGAGGTTTATATCTGGCAATATATCCAAATGTTGACCTAGGATTTAAGAGGACACGTGTGCTGTAAAGTACCTCTCCGAGGGGCCCACGCCCCTCGGGTTCCTCCTTCCACACCCAGCATTGCTCACCAGTATTCAAGGCATGAGTCAGAGCCCATAATATCTCAGAAAGGCTTAAAACCCCTCAGGTTTAAATAGCAATAAAAATTCTGTTGGGAAGCAGAATGGGAAGAAGGGATGCTTTTACCCTGTCCTGGTGTTGGGGCTTTATTAGAAGGCACCTGCCCCCGCAGGGAGTAAAATATTTCAGGAGCAAAGCTCAGCTCTGACAGAAGTGCTTGGAAGCGGGTGGCATTTCAGGTGCTGAGGAGTCCCTTTACCACCTTCCAGCCATCCTCCTTTTCCCTATATTTGCCCAACACGGCTCTGTCTCTCCCCATGCCCAGTCTCTCCTTCTCTCTGTGTACAGTGCCCCACAGTTCTCACCCCCCCTCTTCTCTCATCGTCCCCACCTTCCCAGAGCTGTGAGCACTCTCAGCTCCTCTCCTCCATCAGGTCTTTTTCCTCCCCAGTGTCTTTTGTCTTCCCCACCTCCTCTAGCTCCACATCTCTGAGCACCCGCACCCCCGGGACCCCTCTCCTGGGCCTCGCTGCCCCTGCCCCTCCTCCGTCCCTGCTCCATCCCGCCGACCCCGGCCACCTCCAGCACCGGCGGATCAGCGCCGGGAGCCGCCTCTGCGGGTCGAGGTCGCCTCCCGTGCCCGGCCCCGGGCGGCGACAGCCATTTCAGGCAGCGCTGTCCCGGGTGCGCCACGGGCCGGGCAGCGCTTCCCAGGGCCAGGGCCCGGCCATGGCGCTGGCAGCGCCGAGCCCCGGCACCTTTGTTCTCGGCAGCCGCCCCGGTCACGCTCGGCCCCCGCCCGGCCCGGGACGGGGGCGGTGCGGCGGGAGGGGACGGGGAGCGCCCGGGCAGCCCCGAGCGGCGGCGCGGGGTGACATCTGCCGCGGCGGGGAGGGAGGGAGGGAGGCAGGGCCGGGCCAGCCCCCCCGCCCGGGCCGGGCTGGGGCCCGCCGGCAGGTAGCGGGTAACCACGGCAACCGGCGGTAATCCGCTCCCCCGGGCCCGCCGCCGCCGCCCCGCGCCCGCTGCCCTCGCGCCCCGCCCGGCGCGGACCGGCCCGGGGCAGGCACCGGTGGCGGCGGGGCCACTGAGGCCGGTCCCGACCTCGCCGAGCCTGGGACGGGCGGACAGGGGCAGGGGCAGGGGCAGGGGCGGGTTCTCACCACCCCCAGGCACCGCCATCCCGCCGGAGCCCTGCTCAGTTCTCGAGCCCCACTGCAGCCCTGCCGCGCTCCCACAGCCCCGCCACACCCCCGCATGGGCCTGCCCCGGCTCCCGCAGCCCTGTCAGGCTCCCACACGGACCTGCCACGGCTCCCTCAGGGACCTGCCCTGGCTCCAGCAGCCCTGTCAGGCTCCCACACGGACCTGCCCTGGCTCCCCCATGGACCTGGCATGTTCCCACATGGACCTGCCTTGCTCCCACACGGACCTGCCTTGTTCCCACATGGACCTGCTGTGGTTCCCACACAGACCTGCCATGGCTCCCACAGTCCTGCCATGGCTCCCACAGCTCTGCCATGCTCCCACACAGCCCTGCCATCGCTCCTACACAGCCCGGTCCTTCTTGGAGCCTGGCAGCAGCACCCACACCTCTCCATGACCAGTGTTCTCCACCCACCCAGCTCCCTGTGCTCCCAGCATCCTGCTGTGTCTCCACCAGCCCCTGTGGCCATTCCTCAGCAGCCTGGCCTGGGTGTGAAAACTGCCATAATGGGAGATTTTCACAGCCAAACTGTAGCACTGACGAGCTAGCCCTGTTTTCTGTGGGGCAGCAGATCCACGGCCAGCAGCTGCCACCTGATCCAGTCTGTGCTGCCCGTGGTGACCTCCACCCCAAGCCCCAGCGACCTGCCACCACCCCAGTGAAACCAGACTCCCAACCCAGGCAGCTCCAGGGAGGCCAAGGGATGACAGCAGGCTTCATGCACAGGACTTCTCAACCCTGCAAGCCCTTCCCCAACTTGGACTTGGGTTTGGGAGAATCTGGGAGCATTTAAACAGCTCTCCAAAGCCAGCATGCTCCCAGCTCCTCTTCAGGCTGACTGGGGTAGACACTGCCAGAACTAGAAACTGCCTATTCTGGGCTCAGCAGCATGAGGGTCTTGGCTCTGCCCTTGCACTGGCTGGCAGGGCAATATCTGCCTTCTCCAGTGGGACTGGCAGTTCTCCTGGGGCCCAGGAAGCTTCACTCTGCAGGCTCTGCAGGGAAGCATCCCTTCTCCAGGGGGGTTATGCTGGAGGGACATCAGACTGGGACTGCTGGAGTGGGATGGGAGGGAGTGCCGACTGCTTCCCCATCTGCTGTGCGCAACGGCAGATAAAACACTGCCCCGGCCCTCGCGCCAGGGCCGATACCAGCCGAATTCAGCTTCCTGTGAGTCAAAAGCCGCTTCCTGCCAGCAGAGCCCTGCCTGATAATGGCTGTGTTCTGCTCTCTGCCCGGGAGCAGACCCTCTGCCCTCGCCTCTCCTTGCACTTCCCACATGAAAGCGTTCCCCTCTGTATCTCCCAACCACAGCATCTCCCCGCCCCAGTGCAGAGGCGCACGTTAAACTAATTTCCTGCTGCTGGCTGGAAGGGCCACTGTCACCCTCATCCCTGGGACAGCTGAGCTGGATGTTTGGGGCCAGCCGTATCGAGCTGT